TGCTCTCACGCTTTGGACCGTGCTTGTCCGGCAGTGTTCTCTGTTGTCGACGGTAGCTTTGGTTTCCGCTCCAACAGTTACCGAGTAGAGCGTTATACGAAACTGGGACTGAAGAAACCTGGAAACGTACATTCGCACCCAGCTTCGGGCATGACGGTGAGTCTTGAAGATAATTTCTGTGCTATTTTATAGCTAATTTGTGCGCTTAGATTTTACAGCCCATGGTAATAAGCTGCCGAGAGAGTGCCGGAGCCAATGTCCGTCGGTCGGGTCGGCGGCTTTAGTTTGGATATGGTGGTATATCTGTAGTCTCTGGGAATATTGCTTCCCATGTACTCATGGTCCGACGGCTTTTATGGTGTGGACTGGCATCGGCGCGACTCGTCAGCGTATCTCCGAATACGAACGCGTGAGGAATCGAGCTGGTTGCCAGCGCATCCTTGAATCCGTTTACTGCCACATATCTACCTGAGGTTCGTTTTCCTCGCAGGCAGTATGACGAAACCTAATCACTTTGTTTTTTCGAGGAGCAGACTCATACAGACTCAATACCACTGATCCCTGGCATTGTCATGTTGGAGTGCGAATTGGCCGGTGGATTGCGCCCGCACCGGGACTTGTCGGGGAAGTATACCACAGTCATTTTCGGCCTATCTTGCCGTGTACATCTACCGATTCGTAGTGAGCTATAGCCACCCCAATTACCTCCAGCCCGCTGACCTATTCTGCCCCAGTTATTCGGCACAATGAACTTCTTGGCACGCTTCCGTCTGGCTCGCATGTGCTTACGCCGCAAACACGATACCCCGGCTCAGCAGTCGGTTTAAACTTGGCTGGCGTGACTGCAGGACGATCTTATCACTCGTTACTCTTCATTGTCGAAGACTAAGAATTCCCGGGAGTTGATGGTTGATGTGGAAGGAAGTGACGAGGGCAGGCATGGCACACGTCGGGCTGTTGTCGTTTAGTCGTGTAGGCTGTTTCTCAATTGATTCTGAGCTCTTTTATCCGTCTTTTAACCTGTTTCAGTTCCTACAATTGTCTGCTCGGATGATCTGTTGTTGATAGGATCAGGAATCGATTGTCAGGTATTTTCTCGGTTTATCCCGCTACGGTCACGTGCTATTACCCACGCCACGACGAAGGATAAAAGAGCTTCATTTGAGTCCGCTACCTCGGCCTTCCACTCCTCAACCCCACCTCAGTCGTCGTTGGCTCGTTCTGATACCTTCCA